TAAATGAATGAAGTGAATTTCCCTTTTCTTCTTTTCTCATTTTCTCTGTTTATTGCAAGTTTCCTTTTTAGATCTAAGGTCCTAATATTTGACTTGTGTTTAAGCTTGCCTTCCTTGTGGATTTTCTTGAGAAGCATTATGCCTCTACCAGGGGCAGAGTGCATGATGCTGATAGCTTCAGTGCATTGAAGCAAAAACTGCAAGCTATAGCTTCCCCCAAATGGACAATTGGCAGTGCCGCACTCTGTTCTTTTATAAATCCGCACCCCTTGCTCGGGCTCTTCAAGTTCACTGAATTTATGGATGCCTGCGTGGCCGTCTTTGTGCGCACTGCAATGGGTGCTACAGAGTTTGTCAATCTGTCTGTTGCCCAAATTGGTGCTCTTCAATTTTCAAGTGGTAATTTTACAGTTTATTTTGGTAGCGAAATGTGTGTTAATTAGCAGTGTCTAATACCACACTATTGCCTCTTTAACAGTGGTGTTCCCCCTAGAATGCACTGGTCCCCTCCACTGTCTCCTTTCGTCAAAGTGAATATTGACGGTGCATGGGATGCCACATCTGGTTTTGGTGGGGTCGGCGTGGTCATTCGGGATCACAATGGATCTTTTGTTGGTGCCACTATTCAGCCCTGTAATCTCTCTTCTGCGGCGGAATGCGAAGCCCAGGCCGCGATCGTGGGTCTTTCCTTTGCTTCATCTCTCTTCTGCGGCGGAATGCGAAGCCCAGGCCGCGATCGTGGGTCTTTCCTTTGCTTCTTCCCTGCAGCTCCAACACATTGTGGTGGAAACTGATTGCTTTGAGCTCATTTCATGTGTTAAGAATGATTCTGCAACTAGTAACTGGAGGTTCTGTACTTTCCTTGCTGAGTTTCGTCGGTTGGAAGCTTCTTTCAGCCACTGCGATTGGAACTGGATTCGTCGTGAAGCTAACAAAGCCGCTGACGCTGCCGCCAAGCTAGCCAAACGGAGGTTGCGCCTTTGCAGTTGGGTTAATACTCCCCCACCCTCCTTGGTGTCTGTCCTAACGAGTGATGGCTTGCCAGCCCCTCCCTTTGGTTGAGGACAGTCCCGTGCTCTCCTTTTTAGTCTTTTCTACTTTTACTGTTCTTTTACCTGGCTTTGCCTTTGCTTGGCTTCCCCTTTTTAGTTGGTTTTACTTTTGCTGTCCCTTTGCCTCTCTGCTTTTTGAGGTTGGTTTTTTCTTTGTTGGGTTCTATTTGGCCTCTTTTTGGGGCTTTTTATGGAAGTTTCCGTTTGATAAAAAAAAAAATAATACCACACTATTGTCTTTGCAGGTTGAGTATTTTCTTCTTTCCTCGGCTTTCGTCACTTTATCACACTAGACGAAACGGAGAGCAAAAGAAACTTAACTTTAGCAAACTAACGAAATTCTCATATTTTGAATGACTAGAGTTTTTCCGTTTATGACTTCAATTATATGTTGAATTACTCTTTTTCAATGTTTTTTTTCAATGTTTCCTGTGTGCATGGGCTCACTTGGAAGAGGATGAGTAGTTACCAAAGGAAGATGACGAGTTACCGAATGAGGAGTTACTAGAGGAGGAGGATGAGTTACCGAAGGAGGAGGAGGAGTTGTTACCAGATGAGTAAGAGTACTTACTAGAGGAGGAGGGGAAGTTACCGAATGAGGAGTTACCGAATGAGGAGGAGTTGCCGGAGGAGGAGTTACTAGAGGAGGAGGAGCTGAAGGTACTAGTGGAGATACCAAGGCCGGAGCATGAGATTCAGTGGTTTTTTTTAATATTACTTTAACTCTCCTTCGGTTTTGCTGGAGATGGCATGAATGAATGAAATGAATTTCCCTTTTCTCCTTTTCTCATTTTCTCTGTTTACTGCAAGTTTCCTTTTTAGATCTAAGGTCCTAATATTTGACTTGTGTTTAACCTTGCCTCCCTTTTGGATTTTCTTGAGAAGCATTCTGCCTCTACTAGGAGCAGAGTGCATGATGCTGCTAGCTTCAGTGCATTGAAGCAAAAACTGCAAGCTATAGCTTCCCCAAAATGGACAATTGGCGGTGCCGCGCTCTGTTCTTTTATAAATCCGCACCCCTTGCTCTAGCTCTTCAAGTTCACTGAATTTGTGGATGCCTGCGTGGCCGTCTTTGTGCGCACTGCAACGGGTGCTGCAGAGTTTGTCAATCTGTCCGTTGCCCAAATTGGTGCTCTTCAATTTAAAAGTGGTAATTTTACAGTTTTTTTGGTAGCGTAAAGTGTGTTAATGAGCAGTGTCTAATACCACACTATTGTCTTTGCAGGTTGAGTATTTTCTTCATTCCTCGGCTTTCGTCACATTATCACACTCGACGAAACAGAGAGCAAAAGAAACTTAACTTTTGCAAACTAACGAAATTCTCATATTTTGAATGACTAGAGTTTTTCCGTTTATGACTTCAATTATATGTTGAATTAATCTTTTTCAATGTTTCCTGTATGCATGGGCCCACTTGGAAGAGGATTAGTAGTTACCAAAGGAGTAGGAAGAGTTACCGAATGAGGAGTTACCAGAGGAGGAGGAGGAGTTACCAGAGGAGGAGGATGAGTTACTGAAGGAGGAGGTGGAGTTGTTACCAGAGGAGGAAGAGTAGTTACCAGAGGAGGAGGGGAAGTTTCCGAAGGAAGAGTTACCGAAGGAGGAGTTACCAGAGGAGGAGTTACCGAAGGTGGAGTTACCAGAGGAGGAGGAGCTGAAGGTACTAGTGGAGATACCAAGGCCGGAGCATGAGAGGCAGTGGTTTTTTTTAATATTACTTTAACTCTCCTTCGGTTTTGCTGGAGATGGCATGAATGAATGAAATGAATTTCCCTTTTCTCATTTTCTCATTTTCTCTGTTTACTGCAAGTTTCCTTTTTAGATCTAAGGTCCTAATATTTGACTTGTGTTTAACCTTGCCTCCCTTTTGGATTTTCTTGAGAAGCATTCTGCCTCTACCAGGAGCAGAGTGCATGATGCTGCTAGCTTCAGTGCATTGAAGCAAAAACTGCAAGCTATAGCTTCCCCCAAATGGACAATTGGCGGTGCCGCACTCTGTTCTTCTATAAATCCGCACCCCTTGCTCGGGCTCTTCAAGTTCAATGAATTTGTGGATGCCTGCGTGGCCGTCTTTGCGCGCATTGCAATGGGTGCTGCGAGGAGGAGGAGTTGTTACAAGAGGAGTAAGAGTAGTTACTAGAGGAGGAGGGAAAGTTACCGAAGGAGGAGGAGTGACCGAAGTAGGAGTTACCAGAGGAGGAGGAGCTGAAGGTACTAGTAGAGATACCAAGGCCGGAGCATGAGAGGCAGTGGTTTTTTTTAATATTACTTTAACTCTCCTTCGGTTTTACTGGAGATGGCATGAATGAATGAAGTGAATTTCCTTTTTCTCATTTTCTCATTTTCTCTGTTTACTGCATGTTTCCTTTTTAGATCTAAGGTCCTAATATTTGACTTGTGTTTAACCTTGCCTCCCTTTTGGATTTTCTTGAGAAGCATTCTGCCTCTACCAGGAGCAGAGTGCATGATGCTGCTAGCTTCAGTGCATTGAAGCAAAAACTGCAAGCTATAGCTTCCCCCAAATGGACAATTGGCGGTGCCGCACTTTGTTCTTTTATAAATCTGCACCCCTTGCTCGGGCTCTTCAAGTTCAATGAATTTGTGGATGCCTGCATGGCCGTCTTTGCGCGCACTGCAATGGGTGCTGTAGAGTTTGTCAATCTGTTTGTTGTCCAAATTGGTGCTCTTCAATTTTCTAGTGGTAATTTTACAGTTTGTTTTGGTAGCGAAATGTGTGTTAATGAGCAGTGTCTAATACCACACTATTGTCTTTGCAGGTTGAGTATTTTCTTCATTCCTCGGCTTTCGTCACATTATCACACTCGACGAAACAGAGAGCAAAAGAAACTTAACTTTTGCAAACTAACGAAATTCTCATATTTTGAATGACTAGAGTTTTTCCGTTTATGACTTCAATTATATGTTGAATTACTCTTTTTCAATGTTTCCTGTGTGCATGAGCCCACTTGGAAGAGGATGAGTAGTTACCAAAAGAGGATGTAGAGTTACCGAATGAGGAGTTACTAGAGGAGGAGGATGAGTTACCGAAGGAGGAGGAGGAGTTGTTACCAGATGAGTAAGAGTACTTACTAGAGGAGGAGGGGAAGTTACCGAATGAGGAGTTACCGAATGAGGAGGAGTTGCCGGAGGAGGAGTTACTAGAGGAGGAGGAGCTGAAGGTACTAGTGGAGATACCAAGGCCGGAGCATGAGAGGCAGTGGTTTTTTTTAATATTACTTTAACTCTCCTTCGGTTTT